CTATACTATTTATTTCACTGCATTCTGAAGAGCTTTCAGTTCAACAAAGGTTTATACATTAGAGGTTTAGAGACGCAACCTTTCTATGCACGAAACAACATAAGCATACGCCATCGTTTCAATGTCAAATATCTATAAGCTGGCAAAAGATTCAAGTGTCAGAAAGCATAACATTTCAGAGTGACTGCAGAAAGTAAAAGGATACACCTTGGCCTCACTGACGCAACAAAAAAAAAAAAAGGTACTGCGGTACTGATGCCAGAGTATTTATAAGGCGTGATATCTTGCAATAAAAATGTCTTGTACTCACCCTATTCTCACACTACAACCTTCAGCACCGTGGGACTTCTCATTCATTCTCAGCCAAATCACCATCTGATGCATCCTTGATCGCTAAGTACACTAAGTGCAGGATCTTTATCAATTCTCATGTCCTTTTTGTTTTGGGACTGTGGTTAAATTGAGATATTCGCACTAACTTGTCATGGACACTAAAAAAAACATACTGACTGAGAGCGATCCAGAAACCATTGGTAAAGTGGGAGAATTAGATTACACTGGCACATTAAACAAAAAGATTGCTAATCCCATCACACACAATTCAGTACAAACTGGCTGTGCAGACCATCAACCCTAGCAGGAGACGCCATGCTTGCACCTGATACGCTATTATACTAATAGGAGAAGAACTAGATACATTTCTGAAAAGCAGTCTGTAGTCTCTCTTTACTGCCTGGGCTGTGACTATCAACATTTTTGTTTGTTGTGGTGTCAGTATATAAAAAGGCACCAGCTAACATCAAATGTTAGTTAGCCAGTGAATAATGGATTACTCACCAAACTCTCACCCACATATGTATTACTATGTCATAACATAATTTGAAGCTTTGCTCTCCTCAACTATCTTAATTGCTGTTGAATTTTAGAAACTATAAATAAATAGAAAATTAACACGATTATTTCTAAAGCACTTTGTAATTGTAGCTCCTGTGCATTTCCTGGTCATCGATGACTAAGTGTGGCAGGTAGCAAATCCTGTGCTTTAGATAGCCTCAGTAAGCCAAAACATGATGTGTCATGGAGGACTAAAAGAAGGTAGATGGTCATTCAAACACTAGGTACATTACCATAGTCAATTTTATCGATTACTTCTTCCTGTCTGGTTTAAGGTGTGACAATGACTGTAATGACTAAGTGTAGTTTTTCAGTTTAACCTGAAAACCAGCTAAACTCTCCGTCTTCTGTGGTACTTTGACAACCCTGCCATACAGCTTTTTGAAATGAGCTTATGCAAAACCCTGTGAGAGCATGTGGTGACTAATAAGATGAAAAACTAAGACTGATGCCACCGCCAAATAATTACACAAAAACAGAAGTTGAATTTAACAGCAAATGGCCAAACATTGGTTGGCTTTGATGACTTTGAAGCCAGTTTTAAGGTATGTACAAGATTGGATGTATTAAGAAGACCTCTGTGGCTCATGATGCCTTTAAGGACTGCTAAATTTTTTATTTTGCATAAATTCTAACTGACAAAGGATCCGGGAGGAGCATGGGTTAAAATGCTTTTATTGTTGCTTTTTGGTGGTTATGAGAAAAATATTTTTGATGTCAACACAACTAACATGTATCATCCAGCAATCGTGGCATGTTTTCTGATGTATTGTTGACATAAGCCATTTCTCTTGAGCATAATGGTTTTGTGATCACAAGCAGTGCTCAGCAACAGAAAGACAAACTGTTCTCTTGTGATCACAAAGGAACGTACCCTGTAATACTGAGATTTAAAAAAATATTATAATATAAGAAAACATTAAAATTTACCTCTGCCTTGCTATCCCTGGGAATACTGGCATGGTTGTACAATTTTAGGCTTTATTTGCCTTTGCCTTACAAAAGACATGAAATATAATACACAACTGCCAAATACTGTTGCAATTTTACCACGATTTGGTGCTGCTAATGGTATATGGGAAGTGAATATAAGGTTCATTTAAGTGTGTAAAATGCAGTCTTTACAAAATCTTGCTTTAACTTTAGGTATTTTTAAATGTAAGGTCGACGTTTTGTTGGCTCAGAGCGGTCGCTGCACGGACAGCCATCTAAAAACAGGCAGCTTTTGTATCAGGCAACACACCCCCAAAATGTCACAGTCATTGGCTGGGAGGCGCAAGCTCCTAGTAATTCAAGCTATGCTAGTTCCTTGTATGAATTAGCAAAGCATTACTATATATTTACACTGGATTTACAATAGCTATTATTCCAACGACTGCGCTGGGTGTAAATAAACGGTGGCGTTGGCTGGATCATTGCAGACAACACCACCCACCTCACGGTAAATGTCGCTCGTGCTTGCCTTCAATGCACAGCCAGCAATATGTTATTGAGCGCTAAAATCTTCAACTTGGCTACGGTAAGTAAACATAACGAGCTACGGTATCTTTAACGTTATGTCCCGAAATGCGTTGCACTAGTAAATGTGTTGTGCCCTGTCACTCTGTGGCCAACAGAAAGAGCATTCAAGTTTCATGTTTTAATGGAAATATTTAACACGAGAGCACAGCCTGAGACAAAAGCCCACTGCAGCCCCTTCACTGCCCTCACAACGTTCCCCCTCCCCAGCGCTTAATCTAGCTAGCTAGCAAGCTCGTTCCCAGCCCTACACAGCCTCGCTGGCTGGCTGGGGCTAACCCAGCTCGCTCTGCTTCGCCCCGACATTTTCCTATCAGCTTTCTGTTCTCTCGCTTCAACAAGGCAGTGAGCTATTAGACGCAGATACGGGTGAAATTCCAGTTAGCGAAGAGAAAGTACTCAATGTGTGTAACGCACGTGGCACACAACTATACCAAGCCCACGCAGACACATAACACTCAATTTTCACACGCAGTTTACTTCACGTTAGCTCAGCGTTAGCCTGCTCGCTGTAGAACTTAGCCAGATGGTTAACGTTAACTAGGATTTTTACCCCCTTATGATCCGAGGCAATCAAACAACAAACCTAGTTTTCCGCTTACCTTTAAACTGGGTCACACGTATCCCACCGACTCATTCAGGTTCAGCTATATGTGAATATTGCGCAATATAAACAGTTATTTCCTAAATATTGGACGTTAACCGTAGCCTACGGCTGTGTGACGTTCATCGCTGGTTTTGAAAACATCGCAGCCGTTCGTCGCCCGTCCTCTCCGAGAAAAGCCCAGCAAAACATGCAAACGCCGTTCCCATTGGTCGAGGGCGTCACGTGACCGCTTGAGCCCCACCGAGCTTATAAGGTCTCCGTCTGCTGGATAGACTGTAGATGGGTATGTGTGGAAACGATTTAACTCTTTGTTTTATCGACGCTGTGAGTAAATCCGCACCTTTAATGTTAAGAATATTCTCCGTGCTGTCACATTTTGTCAGCTAGCGGCGTGTGTAACATCTGTTGGTGGGTTACTGGCGTGTGAATTTGGGACTGAAAGGAATGGAGAGGGAGAACAGTAACGGGCACTTGACGTCATCTTTTCCGCTGCTGTGTTGCGGTTAGTGGGAACTTTCTCGAAGATCACGGCTGAGGTTAACAGTGGAATGGCGGCTCTTTTCTTGCCCGTGAGCATGGCTAAATCATTTGGGTACAGTTTCATGAATAAACCGACGGCTGAAATTCGCCCCATTTAGCCATCTCATTGTATTGGCCAGCTTTGAATTGGTTGCGCAGTGACATTTGCATCATGGTGTGTTTTGCGCGCATGCGTCATGGCGCATAATATTATATGTTGCAGAGCAGGCTTCAAAGTCGCAAGAGGAAACTGGAGTGGGGGAGGGGCACCGGCTAGACACGAAAACGCCACCGGGGCGGAATGGAAATGACAGGAGCAGTTGTATGAAGGGGGTGTGTTGAAGAGGGTTTACCATACAATGGCTTGACCGGACTGACTGTGAAGATGTCTGGAATACATGAATAAGTCATTAGAATTAATATTAATCTAACACGGCTTTTACTACATATTGACTCGTCAAAGTGCTGGTTTAAGTTACCAGTAATTGCACTCTTATTACAAAGGCTTTAGGTACTTTTGATATTAAGTTGCAGCCTCCAATTAATATCCACAAATTAACTTTTTAGTGTGTGGATTTAAATATCTTAATTTAAACTGAAACATAAATACAGAATGTCTCCAATGTAGTTGTGACTTGAGACAGTTTCAATCAGGAACATCTAATTGTTTACTATTACATATGGTATTATATATTTGAAACTAAGATGACAGTCCAAAGTTGCATTAGAGTAGTAGACTTGAATGAACAGCACCAAGCTTATCTATAATATGAATTCAGTCAAGCTAATGTATGATAAAATGACTTGGATTTTCTGACATCATTATGTTAGGGATTCTTACTAAAATACACCTTTACTGCTCCCAAGAGGGGAAATGCAGGTTGAAATGTGTATGTGGATATATGTCTTCCTTTTTGTGACCGAGTTTGGATAAAATGATTTCTGTTTTGGGGTATGCAAACATTTTATGATGATGCAGATGACTCCTCGAAATATTTGTGCGTGTACGTGCTGTATAATTGATTGTAAAGTTAAACCCTTTATAAGCTTGTTAGAAAAAGCTGTCACATAAGTAGTGTTGACACTGGAAACTGCGACATAGGCCTCTTTTCTTTGCTGGTAAATCTTGGTGATATTTAACAAAATGCAACATGTTACAGCATGTTAGGTATAGTTATTTTGATCTGTTGCAACAGTACAGTTCATAAAATAGCATCACTCAACTGCAATAAATCTTTAAAACCAAGAAAAGACATGGTAGAATAATAAATCTATAAAACACCAGATTAATAACAACGCCAGAAAATGGCTACAAAATACCTAGTTTGTCTATTATCAACCTCTAATGTCAAGTGCGCCTAGAAGAGCTGTAGTTGTGGTCACAGGCCACAATTAAAATATATAATCAGTTTTATTACCTTGTCATTGTTAGAACCCTGTAAGTGACACCATGACACCAACAGCACAGGTATATGAACAATTTATTTACACAACATGTCTGAGTAAAGCATAATATCTGCTTCAGGGGACGACGAGTTGCTTTTGAGAAAAGCAGATGATGGCCCGAAAAAGTCTACAGGTCGGCTCTTACACCGAAGCCTGGTCCTGGAGGAGGCTCTGTCAGAGAAGTCAATCCACCTGCAGGCTCACAGGAGAAACGGCCACTCCTGTAGGAAAGGGAAAATAAAATAAATCTTAACATGCAATCAGCGTAAAGAGAATTCTTTTTTAAAAAAAAAATCTATAAAACTATGTAATTAATCGACCAGGAACAGTATGTACCTGGGCCCAGGTGGTGGAACTCTGCCTGCTATAAGTTCATCAATAATTTCCTCAATGTCCTTAGGTGTGAGGTCCTCCTGAAAATGAGCAAAAGAAAAAGGTTAAATGCAAAGAAAGCATAATCGTGCACTGATTTCCATCACTAGTGGTCTCATGTTAGATCATTAGTCTTACCAGTTTTCCACATCCTAAAACCTATATGAGCACATTTTTTACCCCTACTAAATTTAATTCTAAAGACAGAGCAGGGATGGTCAGAAGGCAATGCTTGAAATACTACTTTTGCAATATTGCAAGGAGCTTATGATGATTATAGCTTATTCTGAAAAGCACGATTTTCCAGATATCATATTAAAGCAGGTTTTTCAGTCAAACTGTCTTCCTAGATAACAAATCTTTTAAATTTTCAAAATAACTGTGTTGTTGGGGGAAAAAGGACATGCAGAATAATTTTGCCCTGTGATGCTTTTTGCTTTCAAAACTGAATCAGACATAGTAATAGTCAGAATGTCCAAATGTTAATGCACTACAAAAGATAATGAACCCTGTCAGTTCACCTCCATCTCATAAAATAACATTATGATTTTCTTTATTAAGCGCAGAAGAGGTTAAAACTGTGTTAAATAACTTAATTTGTTTTTAACCCAGGTAACCAAAGCAGGACTGGTTATGATAAGAGTAATTTTACACCCAACTACATCACTGCTGAAGAGTCGTATCCACTTGCATTTAAAGGGACATTGTGTAACATTTTCAGTTGTTTATTGGCAAAAATTGATGTCTGCATTCATAAATATGTCATCGCTGGTGTACTATTACCTCCACCAATAATCTGACTTAATCTCGTAAAAGGAGAATTTCGGATTTCTTTGTACATTGTGCGGGTAAGTCGTCTGTGGGGTTCCATTACATTTCGCCATCTTGAGAATACACCCGCCAGCAAGGGACATACAGCACCGCCCTTGGCGTTTTCGTTGAGAGCCAGGCCAGCACTGCGTGACTGAGGAGCCGAAGGAGAGGAGCAAGAGACGCTTCGCTACTACCCTGGCAAATTTGAAACAAAGTCCCACTCTTTGAGCATAATGCAGGATCATGCATATGCAGCATCATGAGAGATGGAATCCTTGTCGCCAAGAAAGCGCAAAAGGGAATAGAAAAGGCAGCGTGACCGACGAATTAAAAAAACGAAGGCCCACATCGGGGTAGCCTTTCCCAGGTAGAGAGGGCTGCTGAGGGAGAATGGTAATGCAATCACAGGCCAGCGCTAACAGCGGCGCAGTGATGCGAGGAGAGGGATGAGGCTGTTAGCAACTGGCCGCTAACAGCGGCTAACAGCCAACAGCGGCGCTGGCCTGTGATTACATTACCATTCTCCCTCCCCTCAGCTCTCTCTACCTGGGAAAGGCTACCCCAATGTGGGCCTTCGTTTTTTTAATTCGCCGGTCGCTAACAGCCTCATCCCTCTCCTTGCATCACTGCGCCGCTGTTAGCCGCTGTTAGCGCTGGCCTGTGATTGTATTACCTTTCTCCTTCAGCAGCTCTCTCCACCTGGGAAAGGCAACCCCAATGCTGACCCTTGTTTTTTTAATTCGCCGGTCACGCTGCCTTTTTGATTCCCTTTTGCACTTTCTTGGCGACGAGGATTCCGTCTCCCGTGATGCTGCATAATACATGATCCTGCATTATGTTCAAAGAGTGGGACTTTGTTATGCGGCAGTAGTGCCTCTGGCCACTAACAGCCGTTAGCGGCGCAGTAATGCGAGGAGAGGGATGAGGTGCGTGAGGTTGAGCCACTTGTCAGTTGTCAAAGGACAAGACGTGATTGGTTTGTTTCAATTTACATCCGCCCCAACAGTCCTACGTTGTAAACACAGCCAGCATGGTGAGGAGGGGGTTTGTCAACTCGCGTCGCGTGTGTCTGTGTAGGAGCCTGCATGAATACTCCATGTAGTATCGGATGACATGGTTTCATCAGGGTTATCATAGGTTTTTGGTACACAGCGGCTACAGTTGTTGCAATAAATGTTTGAAACAGTGAGACAATAGAGTGAGCCATCTATTTGAATACAATATATGATTTCAACGTTAGATGGGAGAAATTCCTACACACTGTGGCTTTAAAAAAGGAGCTCAATTACAGCATTATTCACCATGTTAATGTGCATGAAAGACTGAATGAGACTCAAAAACAAATGGACTGCCTGTTAAACAGGAATATATCTATCTGTGCAGCTACACTGGTGTTGCCTCGACTGCTCCTAAGCTGCGTCTTTGCAGGTTTACAACCTCACACATGCCTGTTTACAAACTGTACAATTTGAATTAAACCTAATGCGTGTAATTGATGACGGAATTAATATAATAGCCCAGATACTGCCTGCATTTTTGAGTGCCAATTAATCACAGAAAATGCTAAACTCAGTACCACCATACTCACCGTACCTGTTCTGTCTCTAATGATCACACCTCAGCAATTTTACGTGTTACAGAAAACTCCTCTTTTCTCAGTCACATTTAATTTAATTGGGTCATCCACTTGTGCTCAGCTTGCAATAACCAAACTCTCCCATGGCAATAGACTGCAGAATTAGTTTCACATAATGTTTAACCACAAATGCAAAAAGCAAACTTTTCATATTACATCTGGCTCATAATCTTTTTCTGAGCTCAGGTCATGGATGAGACAACGTTGTTATTCCAGCCATATTATTAATAATGCAAGATTATTTTCCTGTCACAGTTTCCATTTCCGCCCCGTTCAGTTTCTGAGCCTTACAAGTGTAGACTATACCACACCTGCATTGGCTTCCAGAGAAAAAAAAAGTAGCACTCCTTTAGAGGACTGAGAGATGTTTTCACTGCAGACGTTCTTTGCAAAACTCATTTCAGGCTTTAACGTTATTTTGTTAATTAAGTTATAATGTTTGGTGAGGAGGCCATCTGCACAGAGTAGTCTAACACTCACATAATAGTTGTCATTGATCTGAACCATTGGAGCATTCACGCAGGCACCCAGGCATTCCACTTCTATTAGCGTGAACATCTTGTCTGGAGTAGTCTCTCCAACCTTGATACCTGTGGAAAAACAAATAAAGACATGCTTTTTATTTAGCTAATCTCCTCCGACAAGCTGCACGTTACTGAAGCAACAAATAATTTAAACTCAAGCAGCATTACGTGACATTACACAGCTGTAACACTATATGGGAGTTATAACAAAAAGTATAACCTCACTATCTGTTTGATTGAAAGAACAAAAATCTGAGGGTGCTCTTTTAAACGCTACAGAGACTGATGTAGCTAAGCAGTCGTCTGGCTTGATTTCAGTCTCATGTGTATTCTTGTTTGCTGCTGCGGCTCGCTGTTGTTTGAATTGCAGAAACAACTGTATATTTACATGTTTGTTCCCAATCTGTGTTTATCTCAAATATACACAATAAAAAAAAGATTGTTTTCATCTGCGTTTTCATCTCTTCTCTGGTGTCCCACCATAAAATGGAAAATGGCTCTCTTACCCAGTTTGTTTTGGATGGCCTCCAGGATGCTGTCTGAGTTGCAGAGCATGCAGGGTGTTGTTGTGCAGATCTGAATGAAGTATTTTCCCACGGGCTGACGCAGGAACATCGTATAGAATGTCGCTACTTCATACACTCTCATCGGAGCGACTTCCAGCACCTCAGCGACCTGAATGAAAACAATTACAAACATATAATGAGGTTCCCTTACATGACATAAGACATGGTGTTTTATGGTCCAACAAATTGGCATTACACAGCTGTAAAACAAATTGTGGAAGAATCACTGTGCCTTGTTCATGGCAGAAATAGGAAGCCATCCATGTTGCCTCTGGGCTACATCCAACACTGGGATGGTGGCTGCTTGCTTGTGTCCGATAGGGTACATTGAAATGATCGCCTCGATCCTCTGCAGGGGAAGAAAAACAAAAGACATTTTAACTAATGTGGCATTCCTTAGAATAAGAATGACTGTATCCCAACAATTACACCAATTTAAAATATCAAACGATGCTCATACAAAAGTATTAGCTATACAGGTATTTACAAGAAATGCACTGATACTGGTACCTTTTCAAAATTAATATGAAGTTAAATGTATCAAAATAAGAGTTGTTTTATCTTGGTGATAATGATCAGCTCCTCCTATTTTACTATCTGCTACAGTGGTATATAACCTTTCACCAAAATATGGGGTGAAAACCCTGTATCAAGGTTCAGTTTAAGATATTAAAAAGAGAAAAATGTCCAGTTTAACTTTTGAAACATATGCATGCTTGCAAGGGGAGTGAGACAGCCATGCAATTCAATATAACAATAATTAGAAGAACATGAACATGATAATAAAGAAAAAAAACTAAAGATAGGCATGTCTGAAAAGCTCAACTTGTTTGACTTATATAGTCTCATATCAGAACTGGCCAATACAGGTGGGAAAATATTGGTAGATATTCTTACTGGCTCAATTCAGATGTTAACTTTACCTTTTTGTTCTCCTCAGTGAACTCAAAGGGAGTGTCTGGGTTGTTGTCAGGAGTATCTCTGTGCTAAAACAGAAAGACCACAGTGTTAAAGGACAGTTAACATTGTTTATACCAAAGGTTTTATTATCCTTAGTCATCTATGAATAAAACTATTCAGACTTTTAAGTCTTGATTCAAAACATGAAGCTGCTATTATGCAACCACTGCTTTCATGTGAGTAACAGCATCATGTGCAGTTTCTAATAGTACCTGATAAAATATGAATAACCTATCATGTAAGCCCACAGGGGAAAACAGGTGCTGCTCTCAGACCGTTGAAAAGACTCAACACAGATAACAATTATTTCTGCTTCTGCACACACTGCCCCCTTGTGAGCAGCAAATAGCCTTTGTGCAGTTAAAGAAATTAAATGTAATGGTGTTTGAAGATTAAATTGTCAAATACAACATTTCTTATGGAAAAAGAGTGGCTTGGAGACAATTCAGCTGAACCGACTTTCCTTCAACCACAGATCAAAAACATCTTTACTACCAGGGGACAATGAAACCGTGGCATGTTTCCATTACGTGAAAATATCACGTGATGTTTTTGTCACACAGCGTGGCTCTAATAGGCTCTGAAGGCAGCTGCTGGGATAAATTAAGAACTTTTTGAAAAGTGACACCTTTGGGATTTTTTTTTTTTCAGCGAAAATGGAAACACATTTTGTTGAGTTATGCATTCATACAGTAACATTCACACAAAACAGTTACTGGCTGACTTATTTAGAAACAAATACAAATAATATGACCACATGTAAATAATGGGTAAATGCAAGTTTAAACTCAACTGACTTAAGTTTGTGATTATGAAAGATTTTTTTACACCAGTATTGTGAGTGAACACTGGAGTAAAACAGGCCCATTTTCTAAAATCCCAGTCCTACAGCTTTTTTGTACCCTTTCAAAATGCATTAACTTAGTAAAGTATTTTCAAACTATAAATGATATAATATATATGAACTGTTTTATCCATGTATATTGACTATACCCAGCACTGTAAGGTCACAATAAATAAAGAAACAATGTACTGATGCTGTGACGTAATACAAAGTATTGGTGCACATTACATTACATTACATTGGTGTATGGTATCTGTTACAGGCAGGCTGACCACACTGATACAAGGCCACAGAGGTCAGTAATAAGGACAATTAACGGTAATTCAGATCTAGGTAATAGTGCATATTATTCATAATATTTTAAGCGCTATTAAGAAAAATGCGATTGATTATTTAAGTGGTCATCCAATGTTGATCGCAGTTCTCCCTGGTGGCTTGGTGCATTCACTGCTATCCCAAGTAGTCCCTGGTTTAAGAGCTAGAATGAAATCTGCTTGACAGAATTGAAAACCACTAATATTCTGGTCCCATTCACCAAATTCTAGGACCTTTTATCTCACAGATTCTGGCTGAAGCACACAGGCAACATGACAATCAGTTCTTATAATAACTTACAATCACCCTAGTAGCTGCTTATTCTTTGAAACACAATTTGTGGTTTTCAACAAGCCTTTAACAATTTCGCCTGACTCCATAGCACTGATGGATACTCTGTACTCAACTTATTCTACACATCTCTAGACATTGTCAAAGAAAATGAAGCTCACCACAAAGATGCCACCAGCTCCAGCGCGAGCAGCAGACTGATGCAAACTCCTGACCTGCCTGGCCTGAAATTACAGAGAGAAAGAGGACAGATAAAGCACTTGTCAGTATGCTAATTCATACTCTGACATCCCAAGAGAGAGACTTTTCGCAGGTTTGTCTTCCTTCAGACAACCTCAAAGGACTGGGAAATGTTGAAGGTAAAAAAGACATTTAAAAAAAAATGGTAATTTTGTCATTTTCCACTTGACATTCTCTAACTTAACTATACCACAATTGTGAGGTCAAATAAAAGGATAAAAATCAGACTATTCTTGTCTTGGTGTCTAACTATTTAACTGTAAGAGGCTTAAAACATTTGACATGTGATACCCTCACATAAGCATAACTTGAGCACTAGTTTCTGCACATTTAACACTTTGCAGGTGTAGTAATAGGGGTCGTAGATTAGTTATACTATGATGTGCATCTTTATATGGCACTCATTAAGAAAAATATAAAGGTATGTATAACTGAATATAAGGCTGTTACCAGCTTGTTTATTGCCTTAATTCTTAATATCAAGATGTAATTTTAATTTAAGCCAACCCACAAGGGTCATAAATCACACATAGCTGAAATAAATGTTAGTGCTAGCAGTGATTAAAATACCAGTGCTTTGCTATGTTGTACAACTGCAGTATCAGCACACACATACATAACTAACTACAACATTGAGTGAGTTACGTGTTCTGAACCTAGCTCACATTTTGTTGTTATATCTAAAATAAACGTGATTTATCAGAATAATTAAGTCAATACTAATATACAATTGCTCGTGTCGGGTAACATTTCCTTTGCAGTGGTAATTTTGTCCAAATATCACCTTGTAAACGTCTGACAGCAGAAAGCTAAAGTACCTAGCATGCTAACGTTACCCAACCCAACGCTAGCTTAGCGGCCTTCCCTGCTTGCCCTTGTGAGGAGTCACAGCAATTTCTCTACAAATTATTAAAAATGGCACACATACTTCTACCCAGAACCATAAAGAATATCACAAACATACCGTCTGCGAAACTGCAGAGCGAACAGCACCAGACAAAAACATCTTGGGGCTTGAAGTTTGGTCCCGATATGTTACCAAATGGACCGGGTAGCTGCGGCCGACATCAACACAAGCGCTATCACGCTCGGTTAAGAGGGTCTGACGTGAGATGTTACGTCAGACGTCAGTCCGGCGCAACCTAATCGATCCCAGATTGAAATTTGAGCTCGACAACAAAACACGCCAAGAGCACATTTGGACATTTGTTATGTAACCTGAACGGTACGTCATGTTTAATGTCTACCAGTGTTTACGAGGGACGAATATTTCCAAGCATGACAAGAGTTTTTTGATTACACGTTATGACATTTTATAATAAAGAATGTAATAGCTTTATAAAAGAAATGATAATAAACTTTTTTTTGAGACTGCTTTATCAGAGTAGGGGGAAAAGGAGAACATTTGCCCCCCTCACAAAAACATGACAATAACAGGGGAACCTTTATTTTGACAAGATTAAATGTATTGACAGCATAAATTGATGCAGAAAAGGCACAAATTTGTACATAAAAATTCAACAGAATGCAGGAAATTGAGTGTCTGACATTAGGATTTTTTTTGCAGAGCACCCCCAAACCCCCCTTTTCATATGTGTCCTCCCCAGTGTTGGAACAAAACCTATACCCCTGCATTCAAGGAATGTGTCTTGGTGATTTGTTGCATAACTATAAACACAATGCAAGAGTCAAGAGACACGATATAAAATAGAAAAACTGACAATTGAAAATGGAAAAAAAAAGTTTGTTGTTGTTGTTGTCTGTTTTAAGGTGGGAGAGCTGCAGAGTTTTGCGCAGGAATGTGCAAAATATTGAGCAAGGGATGCACACAAGATCAAAGTATAAATACCCAGGTAATTAATAATCAATACAATAACAACACACAATACAATAATAATAAATGCAACATATTCCAGTCAGTTAAGTGAATATATATTCAGTGGACATTTAAAAAATTGAGTAAAATAAAAACAATTTATTTTTGAGGCATTTTTATTTAATTTGTAAAAACTTTTTTGTCATTTGATAATAATTGCTCATGTCTATGTCTTGCAGTGAAATTAATTGTCCAGTTTTTGTCATGCATTTTCATATCTAAAATACAATGTGACAAAGTCTAAATCTGTCATGCAAAAAAGGTATGATAATGATATATGTACGCCAAGTCAGATAATAAACGTTAAGCAAGGGTTATAATTTGACATGACCTAAAGAACTCTTACAGCAATAGCAAATATGTAACTATAAAAATGTGTCAGCTACTATACCAAGAACATTCTGTGACAATGCTTTGAGGATCAGGAATTTAGTTTACTGGCTGTCAGTGAACAAACAGCCCTCCCCGCTCCCCCATCCCACCCCTCTCTCTCCTCAGAGCACCCATCACCCTCCCTGTCAAATCAATCCTGTGCCTGCATGAATCCTGAGCATTCATGTTGCTGCTGCACACTTTCTTCTCCTCCTCCACCTCCTTACTTGGAAAAATACAATAATACGATCAACAGGCCAGGGAGGGCTCAACCAATGAAAAAGTGGGAGTGCCGCACACTGCGAGACAATTGGCTGGCCTGGCCCTAAGTAGACTGTGAGAGATCCTGCAGCTCAGGGATTAGAGGTGGGTCTTTATGCATGCTGAATTGTGTTGCTACAGAGCAAGAGGCCTTGTAGTGTTCTCACCTTACCCAGGAGGATCCAGACAGATCAGCAGTGACTCCAGATTAACCCACTTTCCTACTCACCCTCAGATGAAATAGGCCCGTCTGCATCTGAGCTTCCACAATGGTTGTTTCTGAGTCTCAGGACAAAATGTACTACCCTCCTGATGACCTGAAGAGGGATGCTCATGTGCCTGATTTTAACTCCTATCTGGCACTGTACAGGAAGTCTCTCGAGAATCCAGAAGGTAGGTCAAGCAAGTCTGTATTTTTAGTGCAGTGCTTGCAGTGTTTCCTTGCATTCCCAACTCCCTCTGTATGCAGTATCTCTCTGTGTTTATCTGCAGCCTGTAACACTGACATGAATTATCACTTTGTTCCAGCGTTCTGGAAAGAGATTGCTGAGGAGTTCTTTTGGAAGAAGCCAGCAACAGGACCAATGCTGCAGTATAACTTTGATGTGACAAAAGGGAACATTTATGTAAAATGCATGGAAGGGGCCAAAACCAACATGTGCTATAATGTCCTGGACAGGCTGGTGAGGGAGAGGAATCTTGGCGATAAGGTTGCCTATTACTGGTAAGCAAAAAATGTTTGTCCTGTAAATGATGGCATTGATGGGACACACTGCCTGGAGTTATGTCAGGTATTCCAGTCAATAGCAACTGTTGTGTCTCCTCTGCCAGCTCCAGTGCACCAAAGCAGACCTCAGCTAGTGTTGCACACTGTCAGAGCTTCAAATTTTCAATCCTGTAAATCAACAGAGAACATTTAACAGGATTTTATTACATGTCATATGCTTTGTCATGGCGGCAGTAGCTCAGTCCATAAGTCCATAGGGACTTGGGTTGGGAACCGGAGGGTAGCCTGTTCGAGTCCCCGTCCGGACCAAAATATGGAGCGTGGACTGGTGGCTGGAGAGGTGCCAGTTCACCTCCTGGGCACTGCCAAGGTGCCCTTGAGCAAGGCACCGAACCCCCCAACCGCTCGGGGCGCCTCACCAAGGGCAGCCCCCTCACTCTGACATCTCTCCACTTTGTGCATGTATAGGTCCTGTTTGTGCATGTGTGTGTCTTTCGGACCTGTGTGTAATTGACAAGCAAGAGTGAAAACATTGAATTTCCCCTCAGGGGGATTAATAAAAGTAAATAAACTTAAACTTTGGGTACAACACATTTTATAATCTAACATTACCATAAGAGCCCCTTATAAAAACAAGCTTTTGATATTTATCACAGTGCAAAAGCTGAAAATCTTCCAATAAGAAAGTCCACTAAAAGCCTTTTGGATTGTTTTCAGAATACTTGTGTTTTCAGTTGCTTTATCTTGGATGTAAGCTCATAAATTTTCTCCTTTCACCTTCACAAGTTCCCATAAAGGCTCTATACTTTCTGTAGTTTCGACTTTATATCATGGCACAGTCGTCATGTTGCTCTGTCAACAGAAGAGGCTTAGCAAACAACAAATGGGTTCTGCATGTTCAGCAGTAATAGTTCAATGAAACTGGGTTCAGTGGAGACCAGCCATCGCCCACACAAGTGTCTTAACACTGTTTGCACTCCATCAGAGCACTTATGTAATATACCTGCTCAAGTGTTTGCCCTGCTGGTTCCAGCACGCCATATGAGGAAGATGCAGCTTTCAGCTGTGTTGTTAATGTGTTTATATTCAAACGATCGGTGGCAAGATGGTTTGTTTTGAACTCTTAAACACTTTTACGACTTCAGCCCACACCTTTGCCAAACAGCAGTTGCAGAACTGTCTCAAATGGGAGGACACGCTGCAAAAAATAAGACAGCAAAAAGTATTTAAAAGTCAAATGTGTGACCTTTTGTTTGGTTTCACCTGTAACTGCATCTGTTTTGCAGCTAGTAGAGTCTGAGATTAAGAAGCAGCTCAATGCTGTGTGATGACAGGTGTCCCATGGCTGAAGTTTCACCCTTTAAACAAACTCGAACAAACAAACTGTTTTAAACAAAGAGAGATAAATACCAATTTTCTATACATTCCTTGACCTAGTGGTTGTAAGAAATGGTTTCAAGCTCAACACATTTTCTGTCTCACTGGGTGAGTCATAATAGAAAGAGAAACATCCAGTTTTAAGGTATTGAATGTGAAGTAAAATTAGAGCCTCAGAGGTGATTTATCAGCTGTTTCAAAATGCCCTTTAAAGTTGTTAAATAGTAGAAGCATCAGTGCATGTGTTAGGCATTTGTTGCTGTAAAATGAGATATCTCAGTGTCAGGTTTGTCTCAGTGCCATTTTCTTTTTCTATCTTTTAGACAAGACAAACCAAAAAGCCAAGAAAATTAAAGAGCATAATGAATGACAGACTGAAGTCCATGGTGCATACACAACAACAGCACAAAGGCTAAAAGCAAGGGTAAACATACCACTGCAGGACAGCAGCTAAAAGCAGCTTCACCATATTTGGATTTTATGATAGACGACCTCAGAGGATCTGTAGGTTTGAATCTCTTGCAAAAGTATTTTGCTCATAAATCATTTTGGGGATTTATAGCCGAGTTGTATTGGCTAAAAGTTATTTGAGAAGTGGAGTGATGTTCCCAGCTTTCTTGGTCTCTCTAAGATTTTAAGTAGCAGCATTCTGAATGAGTGGCAGCTGTCAAAGAGCTTTTTAAGAAAGACCTGAGAAAATCCTATTACAGCAGTCCGGCTATTACAGAGATCAAGACGTGGATTAGGTTTCCTAAATCTTGTTTGTTGGTGAATTCCCTGATTCATGCTCTATTTTATGGTGGTAATAGGCCACATTGTTATTGTCTCGACATGGGCATCAAAATTAGGTTTTGATTCCCTGACTACACCAAGATTTCTCATTTGGGTTTTCAGCAGCAGACAATAATGACGAACCTGACTTTTAGTTAACTTTGCTCCAAAAACACACCAATGCAGTGTATATGGAAAGCTGTGGTGGCCACTCTGAGCTGCAGGCGTTTGGTCCTCCGGCAAAGTGCAGCCAAACTAAAAGTTGGGGATAGTTTTACTTTTAGTTTAAGGCCAGAGGATAACCACAGCCAATCGGTAATGAGTCTTGTGACTCATGTGACATGTTGGCTCATGTTACAAAGAACATCTTCTTACCTGAAACACATGAATAGGCTTCCCATCACAGAAAAATGTAATTCAGTCAGGTCCACTGTAGTCAAAGAAAACTTTATTTCCATTTGCAGTATTATATTTGGAGGTATAGCTCTGTTCTGGGGTCTCTCTGCCTTTCCTAGGCCTACGCAGAAAGCCTCTTCCACGCGCTTACGTGGAAAGTCTTAAGGCAGAGAGAGCACACCTCTCTGCCCTTCCATGCACAAATGAGCAAAGCCTGAGGCAGAGACAGCAAACATCTCTGCCCTTCCATGCGCCTCCATGGAAAGCCTAAGGGCCGTAATATACTTGTTGCAAACAACGCGACTGCATCATGGCTGCCATGCATGATCTGC